TCACTCACGTCACATACTCATTTTCGTACGCATGTGACCCCCTCCCCCTTTACACGGAATCACGATCTTTCACGTTACTCGCACGGGATATCTCTTTTTACAATTACAATTATGCGGCGTGATTTCAAGAATATTTATACTCACCTTGAATGCAGCGTAAAAAGCCGACGCACAAAACAGGCTCGAAGTCACTCTCTTACGATACGCAATAACACGGTCACTATATCAAACGTTCACACAATCTGCTGTGCAGCGCAAGAGGCAAGAGGCAACGGCGTCGGGCATCGATGATATCCGGACTGCATTTGTTTTTGCACGCGCGCCACGCGGTTACCGCGCGCGCGAGAGAAGAGGTGCGTTTGGAAACATCACTCGACTGTCCCCGTGTATCATTGGGCGTGTTCAACAGAACAAACCGCTTAGTAGCAATCGAACGTGATTTATATATATATATATATATCCCTCAGGGTACGATCTATAAAAAAGTTACGTTCCGTACGAACATGGGTTAGCCTAACCCGGCGACTTTGATTGACTGTATATCGGGCTGTAATTTATCAATTGAAACAAATTTTTTTTCTTTGGATCGGAAATTTTCTCAAAAATACAATGGCGTTGGTAGATTTATTACCTTATTTGTTAAAACAAAGATACATTTGAAAATGTAAACCATTCTCAAAAAATTTTCATAAAAATTTATTTTTTCTTTTAAATTGCATAACTTTATGAAAAAAAAAGATATCGACATTTTTTAAGTCGCGTTTGAAAGCTAAAAAGTTGTTCTTTGAAATGGCTGAATTCGTTTTTTGATCCATTCCAAAAAGTATATTTTTTTTTAACTATGAAAATACCCGTTTTTTTGCGATAGCGATATAACGTTACTTGCTTGATTTATCGTAATAACGCAAAAAAAATATCTTAAAGTAAAAATAGTTCTTTTGGATGTTGTTGATTAGTATAATATAAATAAATAACAAAAATTGCATGCACGGATACGTTATGCTGGTATGCTACAGAGCATCATTTTGAGGTTAGAATGCACAAAAGTATATAAAAAATAGTAAATTAAACATACCAGAATACTCTACTGCAGCAAATACTCGAAAAACACAAATTTTTTTTGTTTGAAAAACACGGATTTTGTAACGTTCCGTACCAGCTGGGTGTAGACTACCCGAGTTCAATTTTCAAATTCGTTTATCTTGAGCACCAAGCGTAGACTGACGCTGCCCCTTGGCGCTTACATAGTAGCTACCTCAAAGATTTCCCCCCCCCCCCCGGTACGGACCCCCTCCATTCACTTCCTTTAAAATGGCGCTACTTTCAAAATTCGGCTCGGGTTACGCTAACCCAGATCGTACCCTGAGGGATATATATATATATATATATATATATATATATATATATATATAAATGTAACAGTAGTTAATATACTGCTACATTTATATATGATTATACATGCGCAAATTTTTCTCATTTCCTTAAAAATTTCACTTTTTATAAAAAATACAATCCAAACATAATCTTTTTAATTATTTTTAGATTCTTCTTTTTATTATTTTACGAACACAGATTATACAGGAAAAAGAAAACATATACGGACACATTTTATATATATAATTATATATATATTTATATGTTTTCATATAAAAAATTTTTTAACGGGTATTATACGCAGCGTGTTCAATTTTTCTTCAAAACCTGACCTATGATTGTAAGCCTAGCGTTACAATGGGAGCTTTCCAGTAAGCAACACAAGTCGACACAAGTATCGTTTTGTCTTTGTTACTCATTGCCAAAAAAGAAAGATAAAACGACGTTTGTGTTGACTTGTACGTGTCGCTTGCTGAAAAGCTCTCATAGTCTTCATTGAATTTTTCACTATACATATTTTGATTTCAATTTTGTAATTGTTGATGTTGATATTATCATCGCCGCTATTACACAGGCCTATTTTAAATGTTCACCTCGAATATCTTATTTTCTGCGTTTTTTATGAAAAAATGTTCCAGACAAAAGTTGTATAATTTCAAAAGAGACTTAAAATGGTGGAAATGAACTGACCTTGGATAGTTGTTTGAAGGTCACGTGAACGTCACCTTTAATTTCTTAAATAGAACCCTCTATTCTTTTATTACATATTCTTTGTAGCCCTTATCGTAACGTTTTCAAAACACTATAATAGAGCTCTCTTTCGTTAACAATTCCTTGAGATATTTTAAACTTTGTTGTGATATTTATAAAATATCTATCCGTTTAGGACTACATGATGTACTAAATCCGACTGTGCAACCTCCCCATGGTGTACATCGGATAACACTAATGCCAGCGGTGCCTATGTTTTATTTAAAACATTTTTTAAGAAAACACAAAGTTTTTGAGATAATTGTGCGAATCTTTTAAAATAAAACATCCAAAAACAAATACTTTACGAGACACATACCTACTTGATATTTTATAAATATCACGACAAATTTTAAAATATCTCAGGAAAATCTTAACGAAAGAGAGATTTATTATAATGTTTTGAAAATGTCTTGACAAGGGCTACAAGAATATGTAATAAAAAATAGTGTTCCATTTAAGAAATTAAAGGTGACGTTCACGTGATTTTCAAACGAGTATCCAAGGTCAGATCA